CTTGAGAATGGAATTGTTTACCATGAAGGAAAAAGAAAAGAGTAATAATAAATTAATTTTTAAGGCATTAAAAGATTGGAATTTAGAAAGGTTAATCCCTTTCTCTGACTTTGTGAGGACACATTTGGAAGAGCCTCCAGTATTCACAAACTAATTTTAAAAATGTAAAGTATGTAATTATTGGAATATATAACTAAAGTGACTAAGTTTTGAGAGGAACATGAAAGATTCAAATATATCTATAAATTTTGTAACTTAATGTTTGTGGGCATTTGAAAAGTATAAATTCCAGAGTTGAGAAAGCATCAGCATGGTGGAAATGTGTAGAGCTTATTGGTGAGAGAAGATGAAGCTAAAAGAAACAAGATAAAATATTAAAATTAAGAATTTAGGCATCACCTCAGGGAAGAGCCTTGACAGTGAAAGGGAACTACTTAATTGCTAATAGCTGGTCTGGACCAGACACTTAACTGCGCTTTGGGAATCATCCTGCACTAATCAGGAAATAAACTTGACTTTTCTTTTTCTTAAGCTTTTTGGAACAACCCCACCACCACCACTATGCTTTTTTTTTTTTTAAGCTATAGCATCTTGATTCATACACCAATTCTTGAAATATGCTGAATAGATTTCTTTTTTTAGATTCCTTGCGCATTTTTGTATGAAGAATCCTATGTGATCTTTCTATAGCCATGCCATTCACTTAAATAATTCATAGAGAGAATGGTTTAATTTAAAGGAAGACCTAATAGGAAGAAGATTAAAGGAAGCTTTTAGTCAGCCTGTGGTTAGATTTATTGATTTGGTGAACAGAACTGTGTTCTTTCCTGAATTTCAGCTAATGGTCAAAGAATGGCTTTCAGTTAAAGTTGTGACTTATTATAAATAATACAAAGAATATCTTAGTAATTAGAAATCCTTTAAAAAGTAGAGTAAATGTGGCCAATAGAACTCATACAAATTCCATTTCTTTTTATAAGAAAAACACAAACCATTATCATTTATTCATGAGCCAAAGCCATTAAGAAGACAAATCAAGTTACCAGCTTCCTGTCTCTTTGAAGTTTGGATCATTTTATAGGCCTATGTAATAGGTTTCTTCCTATGAAACAAAAACCTTGAAACCTAATTCATAAATATACTCTAAAGTTTTCATTTAAAAACTTTTTTCACTTTTAGCTATAATGAGTCAGATTGTATATTAATTTTAGTAAATTTCATGGGAAAGTAGACAATTATTTCTGGAGACAGCACAGGGAGAACAATGTTTAAATCTACAAAAACCTGTGTGTTAAGTAATACCTAAATGAATAAAAGATTTTAAGTCAAGCAGACTATTTCTATTTTGGAAAAAAAAAAGATCTTTACAATTTGCTTTAACCATAATCAGTTTCAAATTTTATTTCTAAAGAATGAACAGAAAGCACAAAGTTCTTTTTTTTAATGACCTGCTAGAGGTAAGCAATGCTACAAGAGTCTGCCTATACCATTCTAATATATTAAGATATTGGGCACAATGGAGGTAACTTTTTAATGGATTGGCTTCTATGTAGAAAAATAGACTAATAAATAAAGCCCAATGGAAAGGGATTTGGGGCACATGAATCCTATTTCAAATACAAGCAATCTATTTTTGTTTAATTTTGAATAGATAATCCTAAATCTTGATCTTCATCTCCTAGCATATAAAATGTAGATAAATAATACTTGTGACTTGATTTCCTGAAGGCTAATTCTTCACTTAAGAGGTGACTATTAGAGCATACTTTTAAAGTAATTTCTGTAATTTCTTAAAAATAATGTGATGATAGATTTTCAAAGTATCCCCTTAGTAGACCCTGCAAATTCACATTCACTTCTGATAGTCTGTAATAGGCTTTCTTGGCTTGATTTGATGATAGAGATAACAGTACAATTTGGATTTATAGTTTAGACTCTGGAATTGGATGAACAATTGTAGTTTCCTCCTACCCTTAATAAGGTTTAGTAAAATTGATGTTTGCCTGTTATTTTAAAGTTGATTACATTTGCAGGAAGTAAAGATAATCACTTTTGCTGTGGTTATAATCAAATCTAAGCTTTCAGACTTAAAGTAAAACTCACGGGGATTTACTTAAATTATGCTGACTTTGCTAGGAGTGAGTGACTCAATTCTATGTAAGCCAAGTATGAACTTGATATATACTTGAATATACAGTTTAAGCAGTAATTTCACAAAGCTGTTAGTACTCTTGTCAGTTGGGCTTGTATGAATCCTCCTCTTACCCAAAAAGAAGTAGACTGTTTGCATTTTTATTTCTAATCCTGAAGTTGAATGTTTCTTCTTGGATGTGAGTTCAAATAAATTGATCTGAATAAATTTTCACTTCTTAATTAAAACTTCATACATAAAATCCAAAGGCTTTGTATATTGTTTTTAAAACATGGGCATCCCGGGTGGCTCAGCGGTTTAGTGCCGCCTTCAGCCCAGGGCCTGATCCTGGAGTCCGAGGATTGAGTCCCACGTTGGGCTCCCCGCATGGAGCCTGCTTCTCCCTCTGCCTGTGTCTCTGACTCTCTCTCTCAAGAATAAATAAATAAAATATTTTTAAAAAAAAAAGATAAAACATTGTGTGCCCTAGGGCTGCTGGGTGGCTCAGTCAGTTAAGCATCTGAATGAATTCTGCTCAGGTCATGATCTCTGGGTTATGAGATCAAGCTCTGCCTCTGGTTCTGCACTTGGGGTGGAGCCTGCTGAAGATTCTATCTCATCCTCTCTGTGCACGCTTGCTCTCTCTCTAGAAACAAAAAACACTATATCCAGACTTTGCACATTCAACTTAGAATCTAAAAAAGGTGGGGACATCAGTTAAGCATCGGACTTGGTTTCAGCTCAGGTCATGATCTCAGGGTCCTAAAAGCCCCACCAAACAGACTCTACTTGGGTTTCTTTCCCTCTCCTTCTGCCCTTCCTTTCCCCCACCCCTTCATTTTCACACTCAAATCTTAAAAAAAAAAAAAAAAAAAAAAAACCTGAAAATTTTTAAAAACCTAAATTACACGTTTTCTAATTTATAATACATTTTATGTCCGTTTAGTGTGTCAGTTTAGGTCTTCCAGAAGCAGATGCCAAGATGTGATTAAATGTGCAAGAGACTGAAGGAAGAAGATGTGGAAGTCTTCCTATCACTTTGCAAGTCTGACCTACATGAAAAATGCAAAGATTAGGTAGGGTGGGCTTCAGACTGCAGTGCAGTTATGAAAAGCTAGGTGGGGATTTAGTTACCAAGCAAAGGTTGACAGGGGCAGCCCACATGGGACAGGAATGGCCTAGCTCTAGAACTCAGCATGCTACTACTGGCTGAAAATATGGGAAAATGAGGCAGTCACCCTGATATGTCTGACCTGTACTAGGTGAAGTGAATGAGACAATTTGATCACAAAAAATTTTTTACCCAAAATCTCAGCAATGAAAAGCAATATATCAATACATTTTAAAATCAGAAGGGGACCGTGGGTGGCTCAGTCAGTTAAGCACCTTCCGCCTTAGGGCTCAGGTCATGATCCCCTTTCTCTGCCGCTCTCTTTCAAATAAAATCTTAAAAAAAAAAAAATCAGGGGCACCGGCAACTCAGTGGTTGAGCATCTGTCTTTGGTTCAAGTCGTCATCCTGGGGTTTGCAGTCCTGGGATCAAGTTCTACATTGGGAATCCCAGCTCAGCGGGGAGCCTGTTTCTCCCTCTGCCTTTTTCTCTGCCTGTGTCTCATGAATAAATTTTTTTAAAAAATCAGAATTAAAACAACAACCTAATGAAAAAAGGTCAAGATTTTATTTTTTATGATTTTATTTATTCATGAGAGACACAGAAAGAGGCAGAGATATAGGCAGAAGGAGAAGCAGCAGGCTCCATACAGGAGCCCGATGTGGGACTCGATCCCAGAATTCCAGGATCACCGCTCAGGCCGAAGGCAGACGCTCAACTGCTGAGCCACCCAGCCGTCCCAGGTCAAGATTTTAAATATAGTTTTACTGACGTCTGCTGACTAAGGATTCCTTATAGCTCCATAAGGCATTACAGATTCACTGCCTCCTGACGGCAGGGTAAGTTGTTCACACTAATGTCATTTTCCATAGACCACTTTCCCTGTCCAAAAATAAAGTCTTCCCCAGGCTTGGGCATTTGCAGTTTCTCTATTGCCTCTTTTCCAGTATGAGAAGTGTGGGTTCTGGTGGAGCATACCCAGGAGTAAGTCTTCCTTTAAGACGTTTCTAATAAAATGCCCCTGCCCGGTGACCCACTAAGAGGTTACCCAAAGAAGCAAAATGTACTGATACCGCCTATTTCTAGTGTAGTTTTACATATAAAAATCTATGTACGTACTGTATGTATATACATTTTGCACACTATATAATTACGGCAGATTCCTTGACAGCCGGGGGAATGTGTCAATCATCCTACAGACCTGACCCAAAGTAGGTAACGGTTCTTTGAAAGATGAACATGTGGGGTCCCCCTCCCCGTATCGCTCCTGTAGCGCTCCCCAGTTTCGGCCCGAGGGCCCGGATTCACTGCTTGGCCGCATTCACAGCCAGCCGGCATCCAAGCCCGCCTGTAAAAATCTCTAAGCGTAGGAAATCCAGAAGCAGTCCTCAAACCAGTCCAGGAAACAAGTTAGCAGTTTCCGCCGGGGTGCCCAGAACGTCACTGGCTACAGGCATTTCCTCCGAGTGCTCAGAATTCCGGAAAACCGGGGAGCTTTCCTCCCTCCCGCGGGAGGAAAACAGCCGCCCCGGGGCGAGCCGGAGGAGCAGCCGCCGGCCCGGCCCGCCCCGCCCCGCCGGGCAGGCCGCAGTGCCGCAGTGCCGCGCGAAGCCTGCGGGGGGCGCCCGCGGCCGCACCCGGCCCGGGGAGGAGGGGGGAGAGCGCGCGGGGGCGGCGCGCTCGGCGCTTCCTGTTCCGGCGCCAGGAGGAGTCGCGCGCTGTTAGTGCTGCCGCTGCCGCCGCCGCCGCCGCCGCCGCCCCCGCCGCCGCCGCTGCCGCCGCCGCTGCTGCCGCCGCCGCCGCCGCCGCCGCCGCCAGTCAGTCCGCGTTCGGTTCTTCAGCACCCGATTCCCCCGGACCCATCGCCGCTTCTAGACTTTGCTGCGGGCTCGGATCTTGCCGGGTGAGGCTGCCTCGGCGCTAGTGGGTATCGTGGAGGGGGGCAGGGGAGCACGCCCAAGCGGGAGACGGGCGCGGTAACAGAAGAACCTCGAGTCGCCTCTTCAGGGGCCGGGACTAAACGTCGGCCCCCGCCATCTTCCCTCAGGCTGCGAGGTGCCCCCCGATCGCCCCCCGGGGAGGAGGCGTCGGAGGCGGCTGACGTCGCGCCGGACGGGTTTCTCCGCACTTGACGTCAGGCCGGGTTTGGGGGCGGGGCGGCGAGAGGGCCCGGCCCCTCCCCCACCCTCCCCACCCCCACCCCCACCCCTTTCCGGGCGGCGCGACCCGCTCGGCGGCCGGTTCGCTCCGGTTGATCCCGGACTCCCTTTGTTCGTTGGGCCCTGAAGGGTTCCCGGCTCGCGCCCCCTCGGTCCCCTCCCCCATTCATTAATTTCTAATAAAACGGGAGAGAGGGGCCTGAACAGCCTTGGAGGAATCTGGCACTTGTTTAATAGGATTGCCCGCCGTGTGACAACGTTCCGGTCGTTAGTTGCCGAAGGAGTTGCTACCCAGATCATATTCGATGAATACACATGACAGAAGCCGTGAGTTCGGCGATACTCTCTTTCTTAGGATTTGGGGGCTTATGTTACGCGTGGAAGCTTATAAATAGCTGAACCGTTTCCTCTTCGAAAACCAAAAGCAGTGCTTTTACTGGTGAAAAATCTCTAATGTTGAGGCATCAGACCGTATTCCCCTGACGGGGGAAAAAAAAAATTACTGCTGAAGAAATACACACTCTTGCACACCTGGTGGTTGTGAAGGCATGTTCTGTAAAGGGGCCTTCTTTTACAGGCCAAGGTAGCCTTCGGAGAGCTTTCAGAAGTTCTTTGTTCGGCTGTATTCACTGGGCAGCAACAGGAATTTTTCTGGTACTTACCAGGCGTCTCTGAACCTCCTGTTTAAAACTAGTTTGCCTCAGCAACTTGAGTTGGGTTGTGTGTGTGAGAATGTTCTTTTCTTCTCTCCAGAAGGAACAGAGAGAGACCCATTCCTTAACTGCAAGGCTCGGGGCCGGTATGTTTTGGAATTCAGCAATCTTCGAATTGTGTCTTTAGATTTTAGAAAGAGTAAGATGCGTAGACCAGAGGTATCACCCTCACAAGGTCCCAGCAGCATCCCTGAGACTACGGTAATAATGGTGCAGGGATAGGTGTGACTTCATGGAAACTGTAAATATCCTCAGGTCACGTTTTGCCACCAACTAAGTTTTATGCCAAATTGTGGAATTTTCCTTTTCTTTTCAGAAGTTTCCGAATCGAGAACTGCAGATAAAGGTTTGCAGGCCTGTGACCGCAATTGTAAAAGTTAACATTTGTTGAGTTTTCCTTGAGTGCCAGAGAGAGACCAGGAGATTGGTTTATTTTGTCAGTCTCGGGGCAGGTCTGCAAGGTGGATACTACTCCTGTGTACTTAAACCTCTGGAGTTTGAAGAATTCAACCTGTCCATCGCCAGCCAGTGAAGAGCTAGGGTTTTATCTACGCAGCCATAACTTTCAGGGTCATTCTTTTAATCTCTGCTGCCATACCATGTAGGAAGAAAGACAAGGGAATATATCTGTTGCCCATCCACTATTTTTTAGAGCACTGTTATTATAGACACTTAATTTATGAATACCATTTAGTCTTTCACATCACTAGCCCTTTTATAGTTGAAGAAACTGAGTCACTGGGGTGAGCTGAATCTGATTGAGACAATCAAACCTCAGTCTAAAGGCTCTCTGCTAAAACTTCTATCCCTCCCCTCTCTGTATTCCAGCCAATTCAAACTGCTTATATTTCCCATAGCGTATTCTTGCCTGCTTTAGCTTTTGCACAATCTGCTCTTTCCCGGGGCCTGTCCCATCATCCCCTACTGCCAGCTCTTCATTGTTCTCCCAGACTGCAAAGGAACCTCTTCTCAGGGTTCCTCCCCTTATTCTCCTTTCCTTGATTCCTTTAGGTGCCCTTTAGGTACTCAACTTGGTGCCCTGGGCTTACCCAAAGTAAGGTAGTTACTATTTAAAGGATAGTGCAGGGGGATCCCTGAGTGGCTCAGTGGTTTACCACCTGCCTTTGGCTCAGGGTGTGATCCTGGAGTCCCAGAATGGAGTCCCGCACCAGGCTCCCTGCCTGGGGCCTGTTTCTCCCTCTGCCTGTGTCTCTGCCTCTCTCTCTCTCTCCCTGTCATGAATGAATGAATGAAATGAATGAATGAATGAATAAATAAATAAATAAATAAATAAATAACCTTAAAAAAAAAATAAAGGGTAGTTCACCAGATTGTGAATTCCTTAAATGTCTATTCAGTGTAGTACTCTTCATTTCCCCAAAGCCTAACAGCACAGTGCCTGGTGTGTATATTCCAGGCATAAGTATAAAAAAAAATGATACTTTAAAAAATTATGTCTTTTGGGACGCCTGGGTGGCTCAGCAGTTGAGCATCTGCCTTCAGCTCCAGTTGTGATCTCAGGGTCCTGGGATCAAGTCCCCACATCGGGCTCCCCACAGGGAGCCTGCTCTTCCCTCTACTTGTGTCTGCCTCTCTCTCTGTCTCTCATGTATGAATAAATCTTTTAAAAAAATAAAAATTATGTCTTTCAAAAGCTTAAGAATATTCAAAAACTTTACTAAGTCCCCAGTTCCTTGAGTTGTCCAAATGTAAAATGGAATGTATCTGATAAAAGAGCCAATAATAAAAATGATCAAATATTCTTTTTTTTTTTTTTTAATTTTTTTTATTCATGAGAGAGGCAGAGACATAGGCAGAGAGAGAAGCAGGCTCCTTGTCTGGAGCCGGATGTGGGATTTGAACCCAGGACCCCTTGATTGTGCCCTGAGCCACCCAGGTGCCCATAATCAAATACTCTAATCAGAAATTTATATTTTCAATATGTTACCATCATCTTCTCCCATACTAAACAAATCAGTGCCAAAGTCTTGATTTCTCATAGTTTCTTTTTTTTTTTTTTTTTAAGAGGTGGGGAGGGCCAAAAGGAGAGGTTTCGTGGGGGGGTTTTGTTTTTTGTTTTTAGATCTTATTTAGAGAGAGTGGGCAGAGGGGAAGAGAGGATCTCAAGCAGACTCCTCTCCTAGAGCACCCAGCCCGACACGGAGCTTGACCCCATGATCCTGAGATTATGACCTGAGCCAAAACCAAGAGTGGGATGATCAACTAACTGAGCCACCCAGGCATCCCTCTTAGTTTCTCTTAATAAACATCTTACTTGTCTGTAGTACTTTATAGATTATTAAACATGTTACTTTTAATTTATCTGTGAAGTAGTCAGGAATTAAAACTTTTGCAGATGAACGGTGGTCTATGGTTAAGCTTGCCTTAGTCAAGAGTCAAAGGATTGATTTCCACATTTCATAACTGTCTAGTCCTTTGCTCTTGACACTCCACCACAAATTGTGATGGCCCTTTGAAATATTCCTTGATGGGTAGTCACTAGTAATATACAGAGTTTAACTTGTTTTTAGAACCTCCTGGTCGGATGCCTGGGTGGCTTAGGGGTTGAGCGTCTTCCTTTGGCTGAGGGTGTGATCCCTGTGAGGAGCCTGCTGTTCTCTCTATGTCTGCCTCTCTCTGTGTCTTATGAATAAATAAGATCTTTAAAAACGAATAATAAGAAATAAAATAAAATCTACTGGTAATTGGATTTCCATTTGACTCTAAAAGCCATAAGAGTGGGGATCCCTAGATGGCTTAGCGGTTTAGCACCTGCCTTTGACCCAGGGCGTGATCCTGGGGCTCCAGGATCGAGTCCCACATGGGCTTCCCTGTGTGGAGCCTGCTTCTCCCTCTGCCTGTGTCTCTGCCTCTCTCTGGGTCTCTCATGAACAAATAAAATCTTTAAAAAAAAAAATTAAGATTTTTTACATAAGAATTACAGAAATGTTTTACTTTTCTAAGGTATGTCAAAAGAAATTTTGTTCTGCTTTTAAGTTTCTGTTTTTACTGCTCAAAATAGAATGACTTTCAGTGGATACATCATAGATCCTGCCATAAAGTAGTAATGGAAAGTTTTAGAAATAATAGCTTTACTGTATTCCAAAAAGAAAAAATGAAAATCTTGATTATGATTATAAACTGGGGAGGGGGGCGCGGGCGCGTTCAGGGTTACTTTGGCCTCATCTTAATTAGCATAATCCAGGATGCCTAGGTGGATCAGTTGGTTAAGTGTCTGACTCTTGATTTTGGCTCAAGTCATGACCTCAGAGTCCTGAGATGGACCCCCATGTAGGGATCCATCCACATTTGGCGTGGAGCCTGCTCAAGAGTCTTTTCTCCCTCTGCCTCTACCCCTACCCTCCCAAAATATCATATTCTAGGTATTTTGGAATAGTTTTTTAGGAAAGTCTCAATTTTAAAAAATTACGCAAGTCTTCTTATATTGAAACACTGCTGTCAGGGCACCTGGGTGACTTAGTTGGTTGAGCGTCTGCCTTTGGCTCAGGTGGTGATCCTGGGGTCCTGGGGTCGAGTCCTGCATTGAGCTCCCTGCTCCCTGCAGGGAACCTGCTTCTCCCTCTGCCTGTGTCTCTGCCTCTCTCTCATGAATAAATAAATAAACTCTTAAAAGAAAAAGAAACACTGCTGTCCAGCTCTGCTTTTTACCTTTTATGATGCAAGTAAGTAAATTAGAATGTTTCCCATTAATAGGAACACTGCATATTCTAGACAATGGAGAGAAGGTCACTTTACTAAAAGTTCCTATAGAACAAGAAATGATCTACCTCTAATCCCTTTAGTGAGGGCTTCATTACTTAATCATAAGATTCTAATACCTCCTTTGTCTTTCAGAATTTTATTTTTAACTTCAAATTTTGAAAGCCAGAGTTGTGAGTCAGTTTAATATTAACTTACGGAATAACTTATATTCTAATGTAATTTTACAACTAGTTAACTTTATATAGTGTTTGTGTATATATATATTTTTTTTAACTAAGAGGGAAAAGAGTAATTCTGAAAACCTGAACAGCAAGCAAGAGCACATGAATTTGAATGGATTGCTTTGTTAGTTCTCCACTCCAGAATTAATGTGAACTTTGATACAGAACCATTTTCTGTTTCAGAAAGGTTCACCCTGTTTGAAAAGCATGTTACTGTCTTATGTAGACTTTAAACTTGTCATGCACTGATAAAGTTTTTTCAGGTGTTCATCCTAAGAATTTACTCTTATGTGATGTAAGGTTTTAGTACAAAACCTTAATGTGGGAATGAATGGATAGTTGTATATACTATATATTCAAAATGTGTTTTTTAATATTCTGAATAAATAGCAAGATTATGGCAGTTGTAGGCTTCACACTTTGTCTTTATCATTCCTGTTAGCCAATTGTACTTGAAAATAAAACTAAGACTGCAAGGATGGCTCAGTATTAAACAGTTTTCTTGTGTAACTATTCATGGATCAAAGGAGAGAAACTGTGATCAGCTCATTAGATGTCAAAAAGATCAAAAGAAATGCAGTGTCTTCTCGAAATGTTTTTTAACTAGCAAACTAGGAATAAGTAAATCTAGCAACATAGGCATAAATAGACATCTTTAATGTAATTTTTTCCATCTTAAACTAAAAATGGGAACGCTTTTAGGATTTTATTTGAGAGAACAAAAAAGAGCATGAGCAGGATGAGGGGCAGAGGGAGAAGCAGATTCCCGCTAAGCAGGGAGCTTAATGCGGGGCTCCATCCCACAACATGGGGATCATGGCGGGAGCTGAAGGCAGACGCTTAACCTATGGAGCCACCCAGGTGCCCCTAAAAAATGGGAATTTTATGTAAACGTTAGAAGCATTTCCAGGAGAGTTGGAACAAGACCATTGTGCTCACTATCACTAACGTTTCATTGTAAAGTTTAGCTGACGCAAAGGAGAAAAGAGGTGTAAATATTGAAAAGAAAATGTAGGGCAGCCCAGGTGGCTCAGCGGTTTAGTGCCATCTTCGGCCCAGGGCCTGATCCTGGAGACCTAGGATCCAGTCCCACATTGGGCTCCCTGCATGGAGCCTGCTTCTCCCTCTGTGTCTCTGCCTCTCTCTCTCTGCTCTCTCTCTCTCTCTCTCTCTCTCTCTGTCTTTCATGAATAAAATAAATAAAATCTTTTAAAAAGAGAGAGAATGTAAAATAAACTTGCATATTTGTTTATTGCAAATGATAGAATTCGTTACCTGAAACCCCAGAGAATCAAATGTGACACTTTCAGGAATAAAATAATTTAGTAACATCACTGTTTACAAAAGTAATTCACTAAAATTTAAAAAGCCTTTCACTTAGGGGTGCCTGGTTGGCTCAGTCAGAATGTGTGGCTCTTGATCTCAGGGTCATGAGTTTGAACCCCACGTTAAGGCTAGAGTTTATTTATTTATTTTTTAATTTTTATTTATTTATGATAGTCACACAGAGAGAGAGAGTGAGAGGCAGAGACACAGGCAGAGGGAGAGGCAGGCTCCATGCACCGGGAGCCCGACGTGGGATTCGATCTCGGGTCTCCAGGATCATGCCCTGGGCCAAAGGCAGGCACCAAACCGCTGCGCCACCCAGGGATCCCCAGAGATTACTTTAAAAAAATAAACTATTGAGTGATAAATGACAATGATGGAAACCAGGAAGATATACTTTGTTCTTGAATGAGAAGATTCGATATTTTGAATGTTCCATGTTCTCTAATCTGTAAATTTAATGCAATCCCAACCAGAACACCAACAGATTATTTTTTTTATAAAATGATCTGGAAAAAAATAATATTCAGGAGTCCAGGGGAAAAAGACAACAGTAATAGGTCAACTGATATTAAAATTTATTTAAAATATAAAGCTACCGAAATTAAGATGGAATGTTGTGGTGCAGATCAGTGGAAAAGAACAGAGGTCTCTAGCCTGGTGGTTAAGAGCCTTGGCTCTAGGGATCCCTGGGTGGCGCAGCGGTTTAGCGCCTGCCTTTGGCCCAGGGCGCGATCCTGGAGACCCGGGATCGAATCCCATATCGGGCTCCCGGTGCATGGAGCCTGCTTCTCCCTCTGCCTGTGTCTCTGCCTCTCTCTCTCTCCCTGTGTGACCATCTAAATAAATAAATAAATAAATAAGCCTGCTTCTCCCTCTGCCTGTGTCTCTGCCTCTCTCTCTCTCCCTGTGTGACTATCATTTAATTAATTAATTAATTAATTAATTAAAAAAAAAGAGCCTTGGCTCTGGAATCAGACCATACCCGAATTTGAACTTTTCTATTTGTCACATTTGTTGTGTACCCTTAAACAAGTTAACTTGATGAGCCTCCTTTTCTCAAGCTGTAAACTGAGTGAAAAATTTGCATTTATTCCGTGAGATTACCTGCCTAAAACATTTACAGCACAGTACCTCTTTTGTAGCAAATATTCGTTAAGTATTTGTTGTCAGAAGTATCTGTTGTCAATAGTGGCAGTAGAATGTGTTAAGGGTAGCTTGTCATATCCATTGAGAAAAGATAGATTATACAGTAATTATTGTTTGAAAGAAAAACATTTTAAGTTGGGGGCACCTGGATGGCTCAGTTGCTTAAGTGTTTGACTTCAGCTCTGGTCATGATCCCAAGGTCCTGGAATCAAACCCCATGGGGTTCCTTGCTGAGCAGGGAGGGAGTCTGCTTGTCCCTCTGCCCCTCCCCCTGCTCATCTCTCTCTCTCTAAGTATTTTTTAAAATACATATTTTAAGTTAAAACCTGCATTGTTAGAAAGCATAGGTGAATTTTTTGTCTCGTATACTTCAGGATTAATCTCCTTACAATTTTATAAAGCCTTTAAAAAATGTACTACTAAGGAGTAAAATTATCAAAGGCAAAAAGAGTACATACTGTCTTAACTGCATTTATATGAAGTCACAGAATAAGCAAAAACTGAGGAAGTGATTGCTGAGTGAAAGGGGAGTTGATTGGAAAGCATCAGTAAACCTGGAGTGAAGGAAAATGTTCTGTATTTTGGTTAGTGGCATATACAGTTGTCAGAAATTGTTGACCTGAACACCTCACATCTGTGCATTTTATTGAGTATTAATTATGCTTCACTTTTAGAATTTGACAAAAGTGGTACAAAGATTTATGAGCAAGTTCACAAAAGTTTATTCTAAATTGAATATGGGATTTAAAATATGCTCTAGTTTCCACTTAATTTTAAAAATGTAAAAGTTGGGCACTCTGGGTGGCTCAGCGATTTAGTGCCACCTTCGGCCGGGGGTGTGATCCTGGGGACCAGGGATTGAGTCCCGTGTTGGGCTCGCTGCATGGAGCCTGCTTCTTCCTCTGCATGTGTCTCTGCGCCGTCCCCGTCTCCACCCCACCCACCCACCCCCGTGTGTCTCTCATAAATAAATAATCTTTTTTAAAAAATAAATAAAAATGTAAAAGTTAAAACAAGGTGCCAATTTTTAACCTGTCATAATTGAAAACTACTTAGAAATTTAATAATACCCAGTGGTGAAGAAGAGTTTTAAAAAATAATGTAGGGCATCCCAGGTGCCTCAGAGGTTTAGCGCCACCTTGAGCCCAGGGCCTGATCCTGGAGACCCAGGATTGAGTCCCACGTCAGGCTCCCTGCATGGTCAGCTTCTCCCTCTGCCTGTGTTTCTGCCTCTCTGTGTGTGTGTCTCTCATGAATAAATAAAATCTTTAAAATAAAATAAAAGATGTAAATTGGCAAAGGACTTTAAAAGTGGCATGGACTTTTTTATTATTATTATTCATGAGAGACACAGAGAGAGAGGCAGAGACACAGGCAGAGGGAGAAGCAGACTCCATGCAGGGAGCCTAGGATCACGTCCTGGGCCGAAGGGGGGAGGCACTAAACCGCTGAGCCACCCACCGATCCCCTGTGGCATGGACTTTTAAGATGGATTGTAGATAGCCTTACCTGTTCACTGTAAATTTTACTTCCAGGACTTTTTCCTGATGACACATTCACAAGCATATGTCTTCAGAAGTGTTGACTGTATCATTGTTTAAAACAGCTCAAAATGCAAACAAACTACCATCAAAATTGAGAGTGAACTATATTGTGGATCACTTTTATATGATGTGCAGCTAGTAAAAAGGGATGACATTTGTAGAACTATATAACTACTGGGATCCCTGGGTGGCGCAGTGGTTTGGCGCCTGCCTTTGGCCCAGGGCGCGATCCTGGAGACCCGGGGTCGAATCCCACGTCGGGCTCCCAGTGCATGGAGCCTGCTTCTCCCTCTGTCTGTGTCTCTGCCTCTCTCTCTCTCTCTCTCTCTCTGTGTGACTATCATAAATAACAAAAAAAAAAAAAAAGAAGAAGAAGAACTATATAACTACTATAGAAGTTTTCCCTACATAAAGAAAAAAACCCTGCATATATGATTAGGTAAAAAATGGTGTACACAAAGTTCTTTAAGGAATATATGAGAAATGGTAAGCACTGGTTTTGAAGTATTCTTTTTTCTTTCTGCTTTTTAGGAAAATGTCTGATGAATTTTCGGTAAGTTGATGCATTTATCCTTCATAAGTATTTTGGCTCTTAAGAAAATGACACAGGAAAAAAAAAATTTAAAAAGAAAATGACACAGCGATGCCTAGGGTGGCTCAGTGGTTGAGCACCTGCCTTCCGCTCAGAGCGTGATCCTGGAGTTGCAGGATCTAGTCCCACATCGTGCTCCCTGCATGGAGCCTGCTTCTCCCTTTGCCTATGTCTCTGCCTCTCTCTTTATGTGTCTCTCATGAATAAATAAATAAAATCTTTTTTAAAAAAAATGACATTAATAAAGTTACTCCTATTCTCTTTTAACCAGGCAGTGTTAATAATGGCCAGCATTACATGAACTATCTCATTTAAGCCTCAACTTAATGCTGAACTTTTTTTTTTTTTTTTTTTTTTTTTAATGAGGAAACTAAAGAAGCTCGGAGAGGGTATGTTGCTTGTTTGAGGTAAAGCCAGGATTCAGATTCTCAGTATTTTGAGTAATTGTATTTAGGAAATTTGGTCGGCTTTAATGAGTTTGCGTTGTAATGTTGATGTAAAGTTGATTTTTATGTTACATGGATTGTTCTTAAACTGAGCGATTTAGCTTTTGAAGATTTTCTAGGAGTTTATAATCCCTCTGTAGCTTACTATTCTTTATGGGTTTATAATCATGTTTGACAGGATTTGTCCCTAAATAAGATTGATAAAACATGCCTGTTTTGTATTCCAGTTGGCAGATGCACTACCTGAACACTCCCCTGCCAAAACGTCTGCTGTGAGCAATACAAAACCTGGCCAACCTCCTCAAGGCTGGCCAAGTTCCAACCCTTGGAATAACCCAAGTGCTCCACCTTCTGTGCCATCTGGACTCCCACCAAGTGCAACACCCTCCACTGTGCCTTTTGGACCAGCACCAACAGGAATGTATCCCTCTGTGCCTCCCACCGGACCACCTCCAGGACCCCCAGCACCCTTTCCTCCTTCTGGACCATCATGTCCCCCACCTGGTGGTCCTTATCCAGCCCCAACCGTGCCAGGCCCTGGCCCCACGGGGCCATATCCTACACCAAATATGCCCTTTCCAGAGCTTCCAAGACCATATGGTGCACCCACAGATCCAGCTGCTGCTGGTCCTTTAGGTCCATGGGGATCCATGTCTTCTGGACCTTGGGCGCCTGGAATGGGAGGGCAGTATCCTACCCCTAATATGCCATATCCATCTCCAGGGCCATATCCTGCACCCCCTCCCCAAGCACCAGGGGCAGCGCCACCTGTTCCATGGGGCACTGTTCCACCAGGAGCCTGGGGACCACCAGCACCATATCCTGCCCCTGCAGGATCATATCCCACACCAGGACTCTATCCCACTCCCAACAATCCTTTTCAAGTGCCTTCAGGACCTTCTGGTGCTCCACCGATGCCTGGTGGCCCCCATGTGAGTGTTAAATTTGTTATTTAAAATGCACTAATAGTCACATGAGCACAACTGAAAGATTATTTGCCTCCAGTTTTAGATAGAAGATTAGAAAGCATTTAAAACTTTTTAAAAGAGGGTGGTATGTGTATATAGAAGAGTACATTTCAAGCTTTAGATAAACCATTTAGAAGGGTGACATTAGTTATTCCTGGTTCTAAAAATAGAAAAATTTCCCAGAGATCCCCAAAGACTTTGAAATGTAGTAAGCAATGTCTTCAATAACATCTTTGAGGTAAACTCAGTTGCAGTTCATCGGACTTAACTTTCTTTTAACATCACATTTTATAACATCACATCAAAGCACAGTTCAGTAAAAACAGTCTCTGCCTGCGTGATCTACCAAGGTAGATTTTTAGAAAATCTAGGACAGTGAATATGTATGTAGCCTTGCCTGTCCTTTCTATAATTCTCCGTAGTGTTTCTCAGCCAAAGTTTTGTTAGATCCTCAGCACCATTGAGCTCCAGGTTATACGACTATTCTGCATTGTCATGCAGAAAGCATGCCATGTGATGCTTTACTGTCAGCCAAGCCAGAGTGATAGGGTTGACATTTTAGTTGGAGAACCTGTTGGGGGCATTTGACCAAATAGAAAAGCATCCCACTTCCCCCCAGAAGTAAGTCAAGTGAGTCTTCAAATAGTCATGTTTCTCCTTCAAGGAAAAAATGACTTAACAAAGTAATCAGATCTCCGACTAGATTAATCAGATGTCTACCTTAACTGTAAAGGAAAAAGAATCTTAATAAAATGCCCCCTAAACTTACTTTCATTAGTATAACTTCTTGCTATACATATTTTATTTAAATTTTTTGCAAATTGTATGCCAAAATAAATGGGATGACTTGGTGTTTGGATTTGTTAAGTAATAAGTTTATTTTAAACCACAGCAAGGAGTTAATAAACTCCACTTAGAAAAACTGGAGGTTTACTTTTTCTTTTTTCTATTGCAGTCTTACCATTAAGTTAATGGACGAAGAGAGGACGCTTTGCTTTTTGAAGTACATATATATGCACATGAATGCATATATAAAAATTGCTGGTTTCACTATTCTTAGAGGGCATTCATGAAAGAACAACTCTTGCACCTCTCAGAGAAGATATCTGCCTCTTGTACTTGGATGTATAGTACATCTGATGGATACAATCAGATAAAAATGTAAAAGTAAATCATTCAAATGTGATTTTTATTCGGTTTTTATTGAACGTTAACGTGATGAAGTATATTGATAGCTCTTTGATATAATTTGTTTAAAAAAGTTTTCGATTTGTTTAAATTATGAAACCACACACTTAAAAACCTAAAATGTGGGTTATTGTTAGAATCTGCAACCTCATTGGCAAATTAGTTCAAGTATTTTTCTATAATCACTTTTTCCCCTAAATAAACACACTTTGAAAACAATCACATTGTCATAATTTAAACAAATGATGCCTCTCAACATCTTGAACTGCTCTGTCTATAGGATAAATAAACCTGGTCCTCTTGAAGTTGTAGTTTGGATATATATTTTAAAGCTGTTGGTAATTATTGTCAGATGTTGAGCTCATTAGCCAGGCAGTGTTCATTTTTATCCTTGAGCTTTTAGTAAAAACTTTTTTTGATTTTGAGTTTTACCTGATTTGCTTTTATTTTTAGCCAGATGGTCACACAGCTCTAAAATCTGCCATTTATGAAAACTTTTTTCTTTTTAATGCAGGCCAACATGTGTGTAAATTATTAGAGAATTGGTCATCTCTGTATTGCTTTGGAATAGATTTTGAGGTGTCTGTATTGCTTTGGGAAGAACTCAAAGAAGGAAATAATTCTCTCCTTTGTCTTGAACGTCAAACCAGAGGAAACCCTGGAAATTGCTTCATAGTGACAAGTAACTTGCATTCCCCACAAAATCCTCTTCTGCCCAGATCCTTCCGTGTAGATCCCTCTCCTTCAGTTCTTTAGAAGGAGCACATCCCTTAGTTTCTCCCTGATATGGAAAACTGGCACACTGTAGGGGTTGTTGTAAACACATATAGCAGTTATGTTTCAAGAACTGTAGTCATTTAGGCACGACTCTTCTCTATACAAGTGCGATCAAAATGTGTATGTCTTCAGAGTCTGATTAAGCTGTGTCATTGTCTTTTGCATAGTTTCCTACATCTGTTGTAAAGTGCTATGGCTAACAGTTCAGTTCTGTTTGTTGACAGGTAAATAGGTAGAATTCGAGTGCCATCCTTAAAAATTACCCTCTAGCTCTAACACTGAAAATAATAATAAGGTGTAGATCTCTGCAATTGCGTTGAAGGCAGTGTGACTGTTGCTTAAATTAGTGTTGTTTGTATCCACCAAAATAGCCTGAGTAGCTTCTTGGCACCTTACCTTTAAATCAGACTCTTAGATTCTTAGAACTGACTATGTTATTTGTTAATAACATTTTGAAACTTTGAATGTATCCATTGGGTTACTAAAATAAGTTGTGAATTTCTTGACTAGTATAGGAGAGACTTATGCTAGAGCTCTTGTTTTTGCTTAGAGAAATATTTAGTAGTTTGTTTCTCTTATAGTTAAAATGTCAGGAATGCCAAATGCTGCCAATTTAATGGTTTGATAGCTACCTCTTTTTAAGAATGCAAGATGGTCATCTTTGAGAAGAACATTCAGTGTTTAAGCTCCCTTTTAAGTAGATGATAGAGTCAAGCTTTCAGAATTGAAACTGATTTGTTTAGATACTTTGAGACTGGGGAATGTTGTTAGACAGCTCTTACTTAGTGGCACAAGCGGTCTTTTTTTCTTTTGCTTCCTTGCAAGGACAAGCCCCAACGATCTATGACACTCTTGGAATCTTTTGTCAGAGTAGCCTCCCATTTACAAAGTAGTAAGTAGCCTTAGAAGGTATTTTAGCTTAAATTATCAGGCAATTTCAGCTAACTGGAGGGATAAGAGGAAAAGTGAGATAACAAAGATATCTTTGTGGTTATTTTGGTTGTGTTACATTGGGACAAGTTCACAACTCTGGCTTTAGATACAATATTTAATGTGACACTAGAGAATAGTGTTTGATTAAGAGAAATAGCACGTTTGGGAATCTAATTGTGGAGTCCATTTATGAGATGAGAAAATCTGCTGAAGAATTTGAAGGACCATGTATCTGAGATTTGGTATTACTACTCCCAATAAGTATATAAACTTAACTAGTGACCCATACTGCCCAGTGTACCCTTTTCTTTGCTTTTCAAGGACTTTCCAAATGATAGTTGTGAGGTTTTTTGCTTTTTGTTTTTTTATATATATAAGAATGGAAATCAAAGGGACTAGAATTTGCTTTTATATTCCATTTAGTTTCTTAGAGCATTATTTCTCAACTTGCAGGGGAAGTCTCGATTCTTGTGAGTACTCCGGGACAAAATGTCTTTAGGTTCAGGGTAAAGTTAAAAGCAGAAGTTTTCTGGTGGAGTAATGGGGGAAAGCATGGGGGAAGGTTTGTCCGTTTACAAGGGAATTGTGTTGCTTTTGAAACCAGTCCTATTAGGCTGGCATCAGTTTAGGGAAGAGCTTGTTTCCTAGAAAGTTTGGTCTTAGAAGAGAAGACCGTATAGAATATGCTGATACTTGGACTCTCTCAGAACAAGAACTTAAAGACAAATTTGGTGGAGAGAATTGAGATGTATTTGAGGATTAGTGTTTCTGGAGTTGGAGTCTTAGGTTTTGACATGTTAAACCAAAAAATGACAAGGAAAAATGAAAATAAAGACTTTACATCCTCATCACACACGCAGTTCTCAAGAATCAAGGCTCCTTAAAGGAGTGCTTGAAATCCCTTGGCTTGTCTATGCTGGACTCGGCCTGATGCCTTTTCATGCTTTTGAACAAAAGATGGCTGTTTATAGCTCGAACTCCACAGCCCTGTTTGGTATAAAGTAATACATTGAGTATTCAGGAATAGGCAATATATTTGTTTAATTAGCCAAGGTCCTCCTTCCTTGTCAGTTTTCCTGTTTTCATTAGAGAATAATAAAAGAGGAGAGAAGAAAGGGGGTGAATTTTTGGCCTTCATCTGGCACACTACTACAACAGAGTATTGGCATATTTTCTAGGAAAGAAAGCCTGTTTTGCCATAAAATTTTACCTCACAAATAATAAGTGCTACCTATTGTACTCAGCTGGACAGCTTTTGAAATTATTTGTATAGAAGAACTAAACTCGGGCAGCCCAGGTGGCTCAGAGGTTTAGTGCCACCTTCGGCCCTGGGCCAGATCCTGCAGACCCAGGATCGAGTCCCGCGTCGGGCTCCCTGCATGGAGCCTGCTTCTCCCTCTGCCTGTGCCTCTGCCCCGTCCTCTCTCCTTCTCTCTCTCTGTCTCTCATGAATAAATTAAAAAAAAAAAAAATAAAGAACTAAAAAAATAAATAATAAAGAACTAAACTCTAGTCACAGTTCAATTAAAAACGGTGACTCATTTGCGTGTCAGTCAGTTGCCTATACTTCAAACGATTAGTACCAATGTCTTCCTCACCCTGAATAATCCAGTGCTAGCTTTATATAAAATGCCACGGTTATAAACCCTAGAAAGTAAACCTAAACACAGACGTTCAGATGTTGGTTTTTGAAAAGCATAAGGTTAAATTCAGATAAATCATACTGTTAAAGGTACTATGCATAGAATGAAAGTGATAGGTAGCTTTCAGGAGGACTAAAATTTAATCTCAATAAAGCAATATTTAGTACTGAAGACAGACACTTTTTATTTTCAGAATTCTGCCAAGTAAACTTAAAATTGCCAACAAAATAATCAGTATTAAAGAAATGCCATGCAAGCTTCTGGCTGTAGAAAACAGGAGAACTATATTCATTCAACAGACACTTAAGTGTCCGATCCCAGTGCTTTGCCAGATTCCAGAGCTACAGAGATGAAAGAGAATGCCTGTCCCGCGGATGCTTACAGTCTAGGGGGTGGCATTACAGAATTCATTAGTACACCCATTTTTGGTTTACCTAGATAAACATTTTAGTCTGCTGTTGGTGGAAATTAGAGGCCAGCCTTTGGACATTTTAAAGAGCAAAGTTTGGTATACCTTTTTTCAAAGTAAGAAATTAATGCTTCTCAAGATTGTAGTGTTTGTCAGTGCAACTGTTCATGTGTGCAAAGTAACGGGATTTTTTTCCTCTTCTTCCCTGGATGAAGGCACTTAAACTGCCTGTCACTGGTTAGCAGATACTGATTTGTTGCCATTAAGTAAACTTGACTTCTTATGCGTGCTCTATAAAGGGTTTTTGTATTTTTTCTTAATATTGTGATTTTTTAAATTGACCTAATAATGACAAATTTAATGTATGTAATTGTCTATGCATTTTAAGTTAAACTGCCTAAAATGTGATTTGAGACATAGACATTTGTTTGTATTATGAACTGTAAGCAATCTTTGGAGACGTTAGGTTTTATCACCTGCTGCTGTATTTGTAAACAAAGACATATGTTGCTTTAAGAAGTAATTATAATTAGGAATAGTCTATGGATGTGATACTTGATATTTTTTAAGATAAACTTGTTTGCTTTTGTGTATTATACCTGAAAACTTTTTTAAAAAATGTATTTTCATGGTTTCACAGTTTTTCCATGTATCTTATTCTTTAGGCCCAGTTCTGGGCTTCCCTGAGAAGTCCAAAGCCTGATTACTGCAAAACTTGTCAAAAAGAAGAAAGGGGCCTGAGACACTCCTTGGTGTGTGACCTGAATTCACAAAGGCATTTAAATAGGGTGCCTGGGAACAACCCTCCACAGACCCTCTTTCAGCAACATGCTGTCCACTCTGGGTTTCTTCTCCTTTCAAGGCTGCTACATCGTTCTTTGTAACCACATTATCTGTATATGCAGAGTTAGGGAACCCTCCCTCTCTGCCCCAGCTGCCACCACCCCCGCTTTCTTTTATGAAAGGTGGTTCTATTCTTGTCATAACTGGTATGCCTGTGGTGAGGGTTACGGTATTAAACTCAGTATAGTTTGCCATTCCATTACCACGGGGTTTGCTAGCCTGTCTTGAACCTTGGTGTGAGTGGGGCTGTAAAATGAGTCACTCGTAATACATCAGCTTTTGAAAGAGACTTCCACTTTTTGCCTTATAATTGGACAAAGTGCAACTGTAAATTTTTAAGTTGCATTTGATATCTTGACTTCCTATCCCGTAAAGGTACCCGCCAAAAATGGAGCTCTGAAATAGGTAGTGAAATAGAAAATCATTCTGGAGCAGGGCTAGGGTTTTTTTCCCCCATCATGAAATGACACTGCTTCAGCAGCAGACACATTCTTTCCTGGGTACCTGACCCAAGCAGGTTCTTTACCACCGTGTTAAACTTGGCACCAATCCTTCTGCAACAGATTTCTAAAGCAACATAGAATCCTTTTCATGCATTTATTTTCAGTAAGACAATACAGTAGCATTCTACTATCAGAAGAGAATTGAGGCCATGCCATAGTTTGTCAGCACATGAACACGGTTCTCATGTGGGCATTAATACAGTTACTTTCACTCTGTATAGTGGTATCCAGGGGTTCCCAGGATGAGAAAGAGACAAAGCAGGTAGAACTTAGGCCCTGCCTCCTCCGGGCTTTCTCTCAAGCAATTGCAGTCTTCCACTTTACTTTTCTTCCATTTTACTTTACTGTATCAGCTTGGGCTGCCATGACAAAACATCATAGACTGGGTAGCTTAACCAACAGGGATTAATTTCTCACAGTTCGGAGACTAGGAGGTCCACAGTCAAGGTGCTGGCCTGCTCAGTTCCCCACTAGGGGTGCTTTGTGGCTTGTGGATGGCCATCTTCTCATGGTGGAGAAGGAGAAGCAAGCTGTGTTTGTCTCTTAGACACTAATCCCATTGTGAGGCTTCATCCTCGTGACCTCATCTAAATGAATTCTCCCAAAGGCTCCATGCCCAAATATCACATCCATGTTTAGGGCTTTGATGCTCATTTTGGGGAAAACAAATTGGTTCATAGCTCTTAACAGGTACATTGTTGGGGGAACAAAATACTTTGCTGCTTTTAAATTTCAATTTTTTTTTTTTAATTTATGATAGTCACACAGAGAGAGAAGCAGAGACCTAGGCAGAGGGAGAAGCAGGCTCCATGCACCGGGAGCCCGACGTGGGATTCGATCCCGGGTCTCAGGCCGCCCCAGGCCAAAGGCAGGCGCCAAACCACTGCGCCACCCAGGGATCCCTGCTTTTAAATTTCAAAAACAGTTGTGGATGACTGTCTCCTAGTTGAGGTTTGCCAAAATTACGGTCATACATTCACAAGTATAAGGCAATCTTAGTCCACCTAGAATTCTAAGCTATGCTTGAAGTGTTCATGGCATATAAAAGAAACACTTTGTTCAGTTTTTGCTTCATTCCTATTTTATGTCAAGCCTCATTTTTTTTTAAGATTTTATTTATTTATTCATGGGAGACACAGGCAGAGACGTAGGCAGAGGGAGAAGCAGGCTCCGTGCAGGGAGCCTGATGTGGGACTCGATCCCAGAACCTTGGGATCACACCCTGAGCCAAAGGCAGGTGCTCAACTGCTGAGCCAAGCCTCATTTTTTATTTTATTTTATTTTTTTTAAAGATTTTTTTTTAAGACTTATGATAGACATAGAGAGGCAGAGACACAGGAGGAGGGAGAAGCAGGCTCCATGCCAGGAGCCCGACACGGGACTTGATCTGGGACTCCAGGATTGTGCCCTGGGCCAAAGGCAGGCGCTAAACCGCTGAGCCACCCAGAGATCCCCCAAGCCTCATTTTTTAAATGGTCATTTAGACCAGCATTCCTTAAAGATTAGTAGGCAGATTAAAAAGAGGGGTTTTTTTTGTTTTTTTTTTTTTTTTTTAGAGAGATGAAGAGGTTAAGTAAATTGCCACAGTAAAAAGGATGACGCCAGTTCTGTCTTCAAGCTTAGGGTTTGTCCACTGTTTCGTGCTCAGGCATCCAGTAACCTGTTTATGCAGTTGCTTGCTTACCAGCCTAGACCTTTGCCTTTTCTCTTCCACAAGACATCCTGATTTGTCCATGTCCCCTTAAATTGTCACTGGTAGGGTCCAAAACTATGGGAAAACTCTGGTGAATACACTGAACTGGTTAATTTTTTAATGAAGTGGAGTTAAATTGAACTTCATGTATTTTCCTACTTAAAAGCTTAATTTCCAGGGAGCTAATGATAGCTTTTATGTACATTTTACATACTTAGGCTCATTCGATTCTTAATCTCCCACTTTTGAGATACATAAAATCTAGGAGGAGACAAAAACAAGTAGCTGACACTGCTAAACAGTGGACCTGAACAATTAAGCCTCACAAACCTCTAGGACAAGGTCAGTTCTCATCCCCATTTTATAGATGATGAAACTAAAGCTAATGAAACTGTAAGGAACCGAGATTAGATTCATAGCTGTGACTATTCCCAAAGATGTTGCTCCATAGCACTGTACTACAGTGTGCTGCTTTCTAAGAACAGCATCCTACGTGGGCCTGTCCTGGGTGCCCAGGCAGGCAGTAGTTCGGCAGTGATTCTGCTTCCAAAATTGTATACCTAGAAAGTCCAATCCATCTAACATGAACGTTAGGCAGGCCTTTCACGTGTTTCATGTCACTGAAGGAGTTTGCATTGGATGTCACTTTAAAGAGCTAGAGTTTGTGTCTGAAATGTACGTCCTTATAGTAGTTGATGAATAAGCACAGTTCTTAAACTACGAACCTAAAACCTACCTAGATTTTCATAAGCAAAGGTGAATTATGTTCAACGGTATTGCAGTTAAGAGTAGGTTAAAGATGTGGTTGTGAGAGTTGTCAGGAAAGGTCCTGGATCACCAAACCACTAGTTGTAGTCCTACCAATTATTGAGAACACTGGATATCCAGCTGCCCTGTAGTGGGGAAGACTTGGAGAAGCCCGTTGGAATGGCTGAGACAGAAGAGGTCTCTGTTAGCAGTGGAGGAGCAGCCAAGATGTCCAGGAGAACCGTACAGAGGGTGGGAGAGTCCAAGGAAGGTTCTGCCAAGTATGGCTTGACAGTTCTTTTTTTAAACTTGCCAGTACAGGACATGCTAAGTTAAAACATCTTAACCGTTGCCTAGTTACTGCAACACACAAAAATCCCAAGGACTAAACTTAATGAATACCTGGATCCTTTCTTGAATGCCCAAAGAAATCTTTACAAAAAAAGACCAAAAGTACATGACTAATGATTAGGACTGGCACCCAGGCTTTTTATGGAAGTGGGATGAGGAGGATTAATGCACACTAGGAAAAGCCTCTTTACAAACTACAGGATTTCTTATTTGAAAGGCAGTAATAAGCCTCCACCTCTGGTGAATCTCCAATAGAAATCTGATCAAATTCTAGAAGGCGACCCTATATGGTTTCAGGGAGCAGAGTTTTGAGCTTTGAGCTCAGCTCTGTAGTGCGATTTGTTGCAATTGATTAGCTTCCTGTGCTCACTTAACCTTACCGTAAAACAGATCATAATGCTCAAAGTACCATGAAGGAAAAAAAGGAACACTTTTCCTTCCTTCTAGCCAAAGGGATCTAGGGACACCTGGATGGCTCATGGTTGAGCATCTGCCTTTGGCTCAGGGCCTGATCCCGAGATTCTGGGATTAAGTCCTGCATCGGACTCCCTGCAGAGAGCCTGCTTCTCCTTCTGCCCGTGTCTCTGCCTCTCATGAATAAATAAATAAATCTTTAAAAAAAATAGAAATCTATTTGGGGTAGTAGCATAACTAAAAGATTGTAGCTCTAATACATAATATCTAGATGAAAATATATATATATATAATATCTAGATGAATGTACCTTAAATTAGATTATCATGTTTGAGAGCTAAAAGTTACTCAATGTGATAACATACGGAACAATTGAACACTAAGGTTGTACTGTAAATGGTCATATATCCCAGTTTGCCTGAAACAGTTCTGGTTTATGTTGTCCAGGTGTAATTAATCGCACCCTCCTTACTTTCTCAAGTGTCCTGGTTTTGAGGATAAATTATTATATGGCTATCCTAACTATAACAAAAAAGACTGCAAGTGACGATTTTCCGTATTTGTTTCCCGAGATACAAACCAATCCTAAAGAACATGTTTTAACATAGAAGTTAATCTTTGAGTCATGTATCATTTGGGCTGCGATTCATACTGCATTTTATAAGAGTGAAGAAAAATATCCAAGTCACTTAAATGTAGCCACATTGTCTTCAGCCAGTCCCAAAAGCAAGAAGAGCACATATTCTACTTCTAGAATAGGAAACCATGCCTTTTTTAGGCTAAAGAAGGTGGACAGAGAAGGAGTGATGGGGGTACTACTTTTCTGGGCATCTCTCCAAGAGTTTCTGCCTCATGGCCTCAAATGTGTCTTTTTCCTCCTACTTCTGAAAGCAATTTCCCTTTAAGTTCCAAGTTTCTTTGTTTTTTTTTTTTGTTGTTGTTGTTGTTGTTGTTGTGAGTGTTGTTGCGTGAGTGTTGCCCTCACACACTGAATAGCACTGAAAATTATGTCCCAATTTTTGCAATCTTTTAGCTGCTGCCTACA